AAGCAGTTTTTTTTTTTAATTAATCCCCGTTTTGTTACAGGTCTTTATATTCTGTTTTGTTTTCCATTCTTTTGTTTACTTTTTTTGTGCTTCTTTTTTTTGTTTTTTTTTTTATCTCTTATCTTTATAATTCTATTACATATTTTTTCTTATTATGAATTTGGCGTTATAGGGGTTCGAACCGAGAAGCTCTGAGTAGGGGACACCTTAAAAACAGATGTATGTACGAGTACATACCACTCTGCCACGGAGGTCGCCTATGAAAGTGTACTACTACATATATATTCTGTACGGTAATTATTGAAGCATAGATCATTGCAATATATATGATTACAATTTGGTGGATATTTGTATACATGCGGGGTAATTTCTTACGTTAAACTTCAGTAATTCATCAGATTAATTAGTTTTGCTTTGTTATGACGTGTTATTGGAAATTAAAGTTCTGACATTGCGTAAAGTTGAATTACACGTTTGATTGATTTATTTGTAACTATTTAATTGAATTTTACTAAATCAATAAGCGTCTTAGATTCAACTAATGTCTTTTTGAGTGATGTTTATACAGTTTTTACTGTAACACTACAAGGTGTTTACCTATATAACGATAAGGTAAGGTATGATTCTCTAAACCTAAACTTGAATTTGATAACAGTATATTCTCGTCATCATCTATACAGAATGAAAAGAAGAGACTAATTTTAAATATCGTTTTAAGTTTGTAGAATCATGCCAGAATCGATACCAATATATGAATATGTACAGCATCAAAATCATGCTTAGATGAAATCAATATCTTATTTTTTAAGTTACCCTAAATCGGGTAAAGACTTTAAAGTGCTCTATAATATGTGTTATTTGTTTTCTTTAATTACGTATGAGTAGAGCCCGTCAGGTATCGACATGTCCCTTCATATTATGGTTTTGCTTTTTCCTTTAAATGTAACTAACACGCCATCATCGATCGGACTGGCTTTGATATTTTGCTTGCGAATACAAAAAGGATGACCTTGTTTAAAATACGTCATTGCTGTAGTATAGGTTACATGAATCAACCTACGCTACAGAAACAAACGCAACGCATAAGTAAAACCACGTAACAAGTTCTAATCAGGATCAATATAATAACTGTAAAAAAATGTTTGGAACATTTTGTAAGAAACAAAGAAGCAGAAATACTAATGCTGTTCTGAAACTAATATTTGCACGCACAGTCAACGTTTAATAAAAGTTACCTACTGTGAGAAAAAGAAATTAATCTTATAATAATGTCAAAGAGCACTTTGTACATGCTACATAGATTAAGTTATCTGCGGCCATTGTCGCGTACTGTACTGTTCAGTCAATAAATGAATAATATATATTACATAGTGACAGAAATCTTTTACTCGTCTTTTACACCAACCATAATGTCTAATTATCTCAAGTGATTGTGAATTTATATCAAGGAAGTTAAAGTCATAGCCTTCTATGTATAAAATAAATAGATAGATAATGCCATGCACGACCCACCACGTGGGCCCATGGTGTGGATTAGAGAGTGCTAATATATGCAGATGCAACCGGAACTAATAGCTTAACGTGCCTTCCGAAGCAGGGAGGAGCTCGAGATAGTAAGTGTTCAGTTATGCATCCTGTGATTGATCATTGAAAATGTTGCTTTAACTTCCTTGATCGTAAACCGAACTAGCTGACCACTGCGCTGATCTGATGTGTCTTATATTTGAACTAGCGGCCCGCCCTCGCTTCGCTTCGGTGTAGAGCTGAAGTGTAGACTACAGTTTTTGTTCTCAGGCTTGTATTATACACAATGACATTCATCTATGATTCTTCTTATACCTGCATGCAAAGTCTCAGCCCGATCGGTTTAAAATTGACATAGTTTCATACAAACTTTCATTCCCTATTTTATCCCCTTGGGGGTAGAATTGATCAAAATCCTTTCTTAGCGGATGCCAACATCATAACATCTACCTGCATGCCAAATTTCAGCCCGATCCGTCCAGTGGTTTGAGCTGTGCGTTGATAGATCACTATGTCAGTCAGTCACTTTTGAGTATCTATATATATATATATATATATATATATATATATATATATATATATATATATATATATTCTTTCTTTTGTTTCTACAATAAAGTTCCTAGCAATGTCCAATTGACCGTCAATAAATTTAAAGCCAAATGCTTGGGTTTAAACTGTCCAAACATTCCAAGAGGCAGTTTCTATAATTATGACAAAGATGATGTGATATTGTTATTGACAAAGTTACAATATAATTTTTTGTAAATATTGTTACTTAATTTGACTCTGTGATTTTTTAATTCGCCCGTTTTTCTAAAGAATATCCTTAACTAGCAAAAGGGTGGAGAAAAAATATGGTCGATTCATACGAGTTATATTATGCTTCTAATTTAAATAAAGAAATTCTGAATTAGAATTTCCCTTCTTAGCCTAATTCATATGTTAACACAGAAAAAGTTACGGGCAGAAGCTGGTAGGTAACATAATAATAATAAGATTTCAAGACGGGAGATATTTCATTATAATAATATTGAATTTAATTTCAATGCCAGAGGAGCATTACCAAAATACAGTTCCGTTTCGACAATTCTTATCTTCCTCCTTCAGTGGTTTGTATTGTATTGTGTAAAAACAAATTATTATCTATTCAATCCATCCTTAATAATCCCAAACTCCTCATCCTAACTTTAACCTTTATCTATTTTGATTGACGTTCACGTCTGAAAAGAAAACTGAAATCGGTATATTTCATCTGCTATTGGGGAGGTAAGTATCCAATATTTTTGTCGTTTCTTATTTACGTTTTGGTAGATATCGAAACTATTCAATATACCTATTATAGGTACGTACGCAAGGTATAGAACATGTTTCGTATATCGACGTAAATATTGTTATAGTGAAGTACCTACAATGGAACTATTTCAATTTACAAGGGTGCGTGACTATGATAGGGAGACAGGTGAATGTCGAAGGTACGTAAATTCTCTGGATTACATTTTGGAATTCATCGACCATTTTGACGAGTACAAAGAAGTTTATGATGGGTAAAACTTTCTTCTTACATTTCCATTTAAGTCTATTCTAATCTATACGGCATTTTTACCTATTCATTGTAAATGATTGATTGATAAAATTGACACATTAATAACATTACGAAGTCGAGTTGTCTCTTGTCGAGTTGGCGTGATTTATTAAATTAGATAACCAGAAAATAGAAAAATAAGTCTAAATATTTTGAACATTATGCCAAACAGAATAGAATTCGTATTATGCTTGTACAGTAATTGATAAATATTATAGTCCCGTCTACTGCCTGGTCCGCGTGGATTTTATTCTAGTTATATTTTCTTTAAATTTAAACATCAAGCAGTTACATGCTTCTAAAATTAAAATTATAATGATAAATATTAGTAAATATTTTCAAGAAACAGGCTCCAGGAACTGATATATAAACTTCCACCAAATATTCCATTTCTGTATTAAGTTAGGTGGTTAATTACTACAAGGTAGGTAATCGAGTAAGAATAGGCAATACGCGAGTTTTACAGCTATAAAAGATAACTGATGACCATATAACCGTCACGTAAGTCATATATACGCTTTTACAACGCTCACAAGCACTCGATTAAAACCAAAAGGCGTGGTGTTAATGAAATTTGATCTTCCAAAGGGGATTTTGAACGTGGATTTCTTTTTAATACAAATTCGACAAGTTTTGTTTTCATGCCGCATTGTAAAAGCGTTCGTGCGAAAAGAACACGCAAACGCCCGCGCGATCGACGCATTATAGAACAAAAGTAAAAGAATTACTAGGCCTTATTTATTTAATCTTTGATCTATAAAACCACTAGATCACATAGATAGACTTTAATTTCGGAAATTAAAGTAACACTCTCACGTTATTTTACTTGTTCGTGATTTTACAATAGTTGAACTTACACGTCACTTTGGGAAATTAAACAAGCACCTAGGTAACTCACGTTATTAACATTAAATACGCATATATGCAAATATCATAATTATGAAACTAAAAAGTAAAAACTAAAATAAGGTAGAATATAAAGTGCATTTTCTTTTTTTTATGTAGGTACGAGTAATATTAAAACATAAGTTGGATAGATATTTTTTCATTGTGTATTTAATAAGGTTTTTGTTTAATTATCATCATTTATCATAGCTAATGTCTCTCTAAATACTTTCGTCTCATAAATTATGGTCGGGGGAAAAAAATTGCTCTCTAGTTACAAGAAATGAAGGACTGAGCCCTGAAACATTATAACTCTTTATGTATAGCTTTCTTAAAAGTTGAATCAGTGTCTAAATTTAAAAAGCAACATTAATTAACTGATAAACTTTCCATTCTAGGAATTTAGGAATTTAATTAATTTACTAATTTATTCATTATAGGTTTATCACTTAAAGATAAGAGACCAGCCTCCGTAGCATAAGCACTACAATTTACATTATATCCAGTTTTTATCACGTCTAACTGTTTAACTCCATAGTAGGTAATTTGACAGTTGACAGCTAGAGGGCCTGGGGTTATCCAAACTTTTCATTCATATTTTGACAAAAAACCTCCGTGTCATAGTTTTTAATTTAAATGATTTTCTTTTCTATATGGACTGTTATTCATTTAAAACTAGCTGAACATTTCTTTAATTAAAATGGTTTTTGCATCTGATATGGTTGAACGTAATGTGGTATTGTTTATAAGGTTACTTTTACGATGAAAATAATGTTTTAAGTCGAAAGCATTGACCGAAACTCGACTTTTATCGCGTTGAGAACTCTTTTGAATTTGGGTCACCCGGTTCAAGGAGGTCATACTTACTTCAAAAGGACCTCTTACAACTGTTAAGCAATAAGTGACTCTTATTTGGACGTAACATCAACCACGAAAGAAGTAGATACCAAGAATAATATTTTCGGCCCTTTTATTTTATATACATTTTACTGTAATTTACACTTACTAGGTTTTGCTGAGCCGCTCATCTGCAAAAGACAAATTTTCTTGTTAATGAAATGAACTTATATCGCTTAAATAAGTAATTGCACATGTATAAATCAGGCAGTTGATAATCTTTTATTAACAAGATGCTAGGGATAGCATTTTTGTTAAATTTCTGAGCTCAAGCAGCAGAAAAGAAATATTTCTCTAACATTATAAGGATTTTTCTTATAATATTATAAGGCTGGGTCTAAACGAAATTTCATTAATCACCGCCGAGTCGCTGAAAATGTTGGTGTGTGGTCTGTGGACGGATAAGTATTAAGAGCAGCGTCATGAAAATTTAAACTAAGTAATCTATTTTATTGTGATGATGCCACCCTAGCCTAGTGTTGCCAATACTACAAGAAATACATGCAATGTTGTTAATCCTGGATTCCATTCATACATAGTGTCAGTTGCAATGAAAATTAAAGTTTTGTAAGGCTTTCCGTCATGAATAAATGACCTCATTTCGATGTTTTAAAAAAGAAGAGATATTTCGAAGCTGATAAACTTAATTTCTATGTGAGGTGACCAAGTTATTTTTTTAAATTATCCGGTGCCTTAGTCAACAAGCCGCCCCTTCGTTAGTATACTTATAAATAATAAATAAAGCCATCCACAGATAACATCAGTAGTATGTCATCAATAAATAACTTTGTCCATCGAACTACAAACAAATTTCGATCACGCCCGATTACGATCTATATTTTTTTATTTCAATCCATTACTTTGTCGCCGAGGCGCGAGGTAAACAAATATCACGTCAAACGTAATCGTTTGATTTTTTGATGCCATAATATATTATTATGTAAAAGGGAGGGACTCGTCGTGTTGACTGACTTTTCCGCCGCTGGTGGACTTCCCGCGCGTGACCTCGAAATGTCGGGTGTGACGTCATAGGAATTGTAAATAGAAACTGCTTTATATTAAGGAATAGACGCGCTAGTCTTGCTGGCGTCGACTGGCTGTCTGCAGAATCTACATTGTAAACCAAGCTGAATAGACTCGAGACGCCAACATTGCCCGCCATTGGTGCGTTAGCCATATTATCCTGAATCAAATATTTGTCAACTATTCTAATGAAACGACCTGAGATTATTATTCCATTCCTGTTACCTAGTAAAATTCTACTCATTTCTATTTTTGACTGAACCCAAATACTTCTATTCTACGGGATTCTACTCACACTTTTAGAATTTTACTTGATAACAGGGATGGAGAAATAATCTCAGATCATTGATTGATTTTAATGAAATGCAGCACGCGGGTTCATTACTAGGGTAGAGCCAAAGGACGTATACTTTTCATAAATTTTTGGCATTATCAGAAACAAATTGCACAGGGTCAATTGGTCTACTAATAGATAGATATTTCTGTTTACAGTTGTCCACCAGGACAAGGTTGAACAAAGTCGTGAAAAAAATCTAGTTCTGCTTAACGAAACTCCTTCATTTAGTATTCACAGGGTGTCATCTTCTAATCTATCAACCTACTCTGATTTCCGAAAGTAGAAAAAATAATAAATAAGTAGTTATATTAACCACTGGTGTGTTCCATGTATTTCTTCCGCTATAGCTGTCCAATATAATAACTGTCGGCATTGACGTCAAATAAATTTAACGCTTGTCAAAGTGATACCTTGTATTATTATATTGCTTTTGCAAAGAAAGTGACAGCATCAAAGTTAATGAAACTTAAAAAACTATTAGGATCTATAAATGCCGCCGCACAATACTTATTTAAAAACCGTGTGAAATAATTTCACAACGTGTAAATATTGAATCTTTTATCTTCTATGGTTTTACCAATTAGTACATATCTAGTTACAATCCACCAGATGCCATGACAGATTCATGGTGGGCATTACTTGATGAAGTTCACACCTTTTTGATTATTAATAAAAGACTCGTACTAAAACTATAATCATCTGATTTTATTCTAATTTCATTAATTTTACCTACTGCAAATGAAAATTTTACACTTCTTCATAATCAAATGCCGTGGTTTCCCATACTGGATTGAGAAAGACAGGAAGGCCCAAACTGCCAGCTTGCTGTGCAGACAGCAAAAGCTTACGCCGCTTTGTTTCAACTTTAGTTAAATTTAACGTCAGTTAATGTTACGACAAATACATAGTAAATGGTAAAATTTTGACAAAAGTTATTTTTTTTCTTTACGGTTTTACTATAGTGAAATTTAACTAAAGATGAAACAACGCGACCTTAGGGGAAACGGACACGACAGCTTCGGAAATTGTAGAAGGCGATGAGCTGTCAGCATATCACCATTGTTTCCTGACCACGTCAAAACAAAGCTTAGACTTAAACCTGAAACAGATTGGCTTAGTAACTAAGGTAGAACCCATAATATCCCCTTAAACATTAAATAGGGTGCACTTAGAGCTACATAGACGCGATTCAGAATGAGCTCTTATTTATATTTATAAAAAATCTCCTAAATAATTGTTTGAGAAGTGATTGCAAAACTTGACACATTTCGGCGCCATTTTAAATGTCAGCCCTACCTCGAATTTATCATATGCATAGACACGATAAAAATATCTAACACAAGTGACCCGACCTCACTTCGCTTCGGTGTAGAGCTGTAGTGTAGGTAGACTACAGTTTATGTTCCCAGGCTTGTATTATATACAATGAATTTCTTTATATAATTTTGACCCGCCCTCGCTTCGCTTCGGTGTAGAGCTGCAGTTTATGTAGACTATGGTTTTTGTCCTCAGGCTTGTATTATACAAAATAAATTTCTTAATATTATAATTATAAACCTTCCATGAAAATTTATTTAAACGGTACTGATTTTTTTTTCGTACTATAGGACCCGTTGTACTCGTTGTGTTCTATACGTTGTTGTATTGTACCATTTTTTGATTAAATGCGCAAATCTCAGGAACTAATGGTTCGCTTATAATAAAACTTTAGTTTTGGATAGTGTATTTATTGAGGAAGGCTTGAGGTTCACATCACGCTGTGACCAGTAGGAACGGATAACCAATGTAAAATATTGCAAAAACGTTTAAAAATATTCCATTTGCGAACTTACGTAATGAACTTACGTTTGAACGTCAATGATTTAAGTTACACAAAAATTATGTACGGCGGAATTATTTTCCTTAAAAAGTTCTATAAAAAAGTCCGCGATAGCAAATGCCCATCTTTTAAGTTTGACTTACTATAACCTTTTTCCTCAAATTAACGCGGGTATAACCGCAGGGGACCTTTAGTTGTGACATAACTGTAATAGTTGGACATAGAGTATCGCGGACTTTTCTTTTTATAGATATTGATGTCCTCTATAAAACTTTAGTACATCACTTTGCTCTACTGTCAATGTCTTCCGCAGCGTAAGCGATATAAGGTTATTTTTTGATATCTTTTTCAAGCCCGTACGGTTACGTTATCGTAGTTATCAGACGAAACCAAAACTTTTTGGAAAATACTCGATAGCCTATGTTCATCAGGGATAATGTAGGGTTCTTAACGCGAATGTTTTTTCAAATGGGGTCATGAGTTTCCAAACCTATTCATTACAAACAAACAATCAAATCTTTCATCTTAGTATAGATAGATTTCTGTATTTCTTCCGTGAAATTGTAAATCATATAAATAATTGTTATATTATCATCGTAACCTAATTAAGAAGGCCAATGTCATAAATTACACGAACGCAGCACGTAATGCTAAATACAAGGTGTATTCAGAATACACCCATTAATTTATTGTGTAAACATCGCGCTGCTTTGTGTGAATTAGTAATTGAGTGGTAGTATAACATGATTGTTTAGTTTAATTTATCTATAGTTAATTCATAGTTTAAGGAATTTCCTTATGATAAACACAGACATTGTGGTGTGTCTGTCTGTCGTTTCAAAGCTAGAAATACTAATAAGTTAATTGGCAAGTTTTTTTACTACGAACTCATTTTGACGTATAACTTTTCTAAATTGATTATATTAATGGTACTTTCACGGTATCTACTGACTCAACGCTCCACGCAGTGTTGTCAACTCTACGTCTTTTTACGTAGATATACGTATTTTAGGCCTTTTCTGCAAACCTACTAACTTCAGTCCCAGAATCTACGTATTTTCTTATAATTTGTACAAATTTGCAAAATAACATAACTCAGTAGAATAAAGAAGCATATTTTCCGTTATTTACTTAAGAACTATACAAATATTTATTTCTTATAATTTTTTTGGTATGAGGAACCCGAATACATCGATTTTACTTCATAAAATTGGAAGATGTCTGTAGTATTTTATTTTGATAATTGTTTTTTAGTCATACTTTTTAAACACTGAAAACGCTGTCCACCATCATTGTGACGTCACAAAATTTGTAAACAGCTAAACATCATTGTCGTGTTACTGCGGTTTCTTTCGTCGTACTAAAATATATCTAAAAACTGTTATATCTTGTAGAAAAGCTTCCGTTTATTGGTTTTGTTGACTCAATTTATGCTGGACGCCGGATTTGTAAAAGCAGAAACGACAAAACTCTTTAACTTAATTTAAAAAAAATGCATTTTTAAACTATAAATATTATTCAATGAGAACTTACATACATCAAAGTGATCTTTGCAAAAAGAAACGACTTACAGTCGATTAAGTATTTAGCAAGTTTCAAACATCTGTTCATGTGTAGGTATGTTTATTTCTTTAGGCAATTTAAACCACAACTTTTATGGAGTCTTTAACGATGTGTTTCTACACTCTCGTATAATACAATCATGATAATGATTACTATATTTTTCATGTAATCTATTAGAAATCATGGTTTTATATTAAATATATAATAAAACTAAGTTGATAAAATTTGCGTGCCGATAAAACTTAAAAAGGAGTCCCGGCACGATAAGGGGACTTATATAGTGTGAAAGCCCGTTATCCCCCCTCGAACAAGAAAGTTCCCATTTTAACCTAAAGGGCATGTTTTTAAAGATATAAGGGCTTTTCCAAACTTTCCTTGGAAATTAATTG